GTCATGTTGACCTTACTATTATGAGCTTTGAAGCACTCATGTGCTTGTAATTACTACATTATTTGTAAATTTGGTTTTATATGTCTGTAAAACATGTAATTATTATATGTCTGTAGTACATGTAATTAGTCATATATATATACTTCTGATTTTTTTGAAAAAAATATGATTGAAAGTTCATTTTAGATTGAAATTATGCCTCTTGTATTAATGTGATATTAGAACCCATAATTTGAACATGATTGAAACTTGGTTCAAATCTCATTCTTGTAGTTCTTTAATGCTATTGCAAATTCTTCTTCTTCTTCTTCGCATGATCTCGTAATGCCTTCCGGACAAGCTCCATTGCATGCAATGAAAACTCTTCTTCTCCTGCACATGCTGCTTGTGAAGCCTCTTAAGTAAAAGAATTTGAATTCTTAAACACTGAGGCATTTTTTGGTGCAAAAGTTGGAATTTCATTTAATAAACTCCGCAGTTAAATGTATATGGAAGAAATCTTGGGATGAGTGACCTCTTGAGAAATTATACCAACATGACGAAATCATAATGCCCTTAGTCCAAAGCGGACAATATCTCGATAGTTAAGAATTTTGGCCGTTATAAATAGTATCAAAGTAATACACCAGCCGGAAGATGGAAACTAAGTGACATACAAGACAAAGTGCTACATCATAGCCACCTCTTAAACCCTGTATGGGAGAAATTGCTACATTGTGGGAGTCTCCACTTTAATTTTTAAGGGCCATCTCTAGAATCCTATATGACTGGTGAATAATTCTGGGATAAAGATGATGGCAAAAACGTCAGTTATTTAAGTGAGAGAGATTGTGAAATCCTTTAAGTAAAAGAAACTAAACTCTTAAACATCGAGGTGTCTTTTGGTGTAGTGGTTGAAATTTCATTTAAAAAATTCCATAGTTAAGTGCGCTTATTTACACCAACATGATAAAATCATGAGTCCCTGTGGCCAAAGCGGGCATAGTTAAAAGTTTGGGCTATTACACTCTGGTCTTGCAAATTCTTCTCCTTCAAATGTCATTGATCCCATGATGCTTTCCCCACAAGCTCCATAACAATCCGTGTAAACTCCTCGTTCCTTCACATGCCACTGACCCTAGGATTCCTTCACTGCAACCTCCATTGCATGCTCAGTGAACTCCAATTCCCCTGCCTTCCCCACCTTCGCCTTCGAAGAACAATGGGTTCTAACAAGGCTTGAACCTTGCTTTGAATTCAAATTGGTTCAAATTAGTTCAAAACTAACTTAAATCTAATGAGCAATTATATATTTATTATGAGGCATATTAAGGCAAATTCCCCTTTCTTCATACTTTTCTTGGAGCTTTGTTTTAGTTCTTTCTCAGAACAGTTGTTTCTAGGGGTGTCAATTCGAGTCAACGGGTCGGGCTTGGGTAGAACCCGGAACTGATCCGGCACTGTTCGGGTCAACCCGAACTCGATCTATTTTTAAAAACGGGTCAGGTTTCCGTACCCGTACCCGGCCCGATTTGGGTCCGGGTCAATCCGACCTGACACGAATGACTCGAACTTGACATAAAATTGCTAGTTTTCAGGTCAAAAATAGGGTAAATCTTCAATTTTCGAGTAAAAAATGAGTCAAAACGAGTCAATATCATGTTTCCGAGTCAAATAGGAGTTTTCGTGTCAATTTCGGGTCATTTTCGGGTTGCTGTGTCAACTCGAACCCGACCCATTTTTTAAAACGGGTTGATATGTTGAACCCGAACCCGACCCGTTTCGGGTCCGCGTTGACCCTAACCTGAATTTTTCTAAGTCGGGTTTGGGTCGTGTCAAAAATTGACACCCCTAGTTGTTTCCTTTTATAATATAATTCGATATTATGGTTTTATTTGTGACAGCTTTCTCACTGTTTTTTAAAATAATTTTTTAATACCAAAAAATTTAGTTCAACATTTTTTTGTATTAAATAGTTCCCTTAGAAATAAGCAAGAAAGCTGTCTAAAAAAAACGTAAAAGGACAACTAGACGGGTCCAGCCACTCAATATATATATTATGCTTAACACTTATTCGTGTCAAAATATTTTCTCGACGAACCTTAGTTACGATTTTTTAACCTATTTAATAAAAAAGTCAAAATCATATTGACTATATTCGTGTCAAAACATTTTCATGCTGAACCCGTAATTGACACGATAACCCGAATTGATGCCACTAATTAAATCTTTATGTTTTTTTTTTATTTTTTTTCTGTAGATAGTTCAGATTATCTATATCCAACTTAAAATAAGTAGATTTTGATACTTCCAAGAAGAAGAACCAAAGCTCTCATTTCCCAGTAATAATTTATAAAAAATAACTGCAATAAAGAAAGCTTATGTCAGCGCAACACATGCATTTTACACATTAGGTCTATAAGAAAAAAAAATTTAAATAATAATACAATAAAATATAATTGTTTGGGGACAAAAATGAATGTATTACATACATATTATTTTATATCATTTTATTTATATATATATAATACCTAAAATTTTAATATTACATACATAAATTTGATTTAGGTGTTGTTTAAAATGACTTTCTTACTGCTTTTTAGAGCAGCTTTTTTTTATACTATATATATATATATATATATTAAACATGACAAAAAATACCATTAAGATAGAAAAATATAGCACAAGACCCCAAGAAGGGCCACATCAATAGAATTACAATTAATGGTAGAATAAATAACAACAGCTGCAAAGCAAAATGAGAGTAGAAAGACAAAATTGGAAGAATATCGGACTCAGACCGACATCTAGTTGCCAGGGAGGGGTCATCCATGGAAGACAGACAAGACATCCAAAAAGTCGTATCGAACCATCCAGGTTGCCAAACAACCTTGGCCATCCAAGGAGCATGCAGCAAAGCTGCTTCCTCATCGTCCATTTCGAATCGAATCCAGCATCACAATGAAAGCAACATAAATAAAAAAATAACCAAATATCACCTCCCAAAGCTTCCAAAAGAAGAAAATCATTTCTTCTTGGAAATCCGTTTACGATGCTTAACAAAATTATCGAGCGAGCCCGTATTCAGGTTATTATCAATAAAAGGAGACACATCCACAGGACTATCCTGACACACAGGTGGTAAAAGAATAGAAGACATATCAGCCATAGTAGGACTAGGAAGGACAAGAGTCGGATCTCGAACATCCCCAACATTCCCCACGCCAACATGAATGCCATTATCATTAGAAACCCGTAAATCCGATTTAGACAAAGGAGCAGTAGGCAAACTAACATCAAGAGTATGTCAGCAGTCACCAAGAGAATGGCAAAAACGCTTACATTTGGGGCAAATGAGAGGAAAATCCTCCATAAAAACTTGCTGGAAATGCCCACGTTTTTCAGGACCAATCAAAATCTTGTCCAAAAATTTCTTCGTGATATCAATTTCCACCAGCACACGGGCAACCGATGGGCGAGACCCCAAAGCAGTGGCATTATCCACCTTCAGCGGGTTACCAAAGAGAAGCCCCAATCCATGCAAAATACGAGGAGAGAAAAAATGGGGGCGCAAATTTGGGAAAGATATCCCGATCGGGACAATGGGAGACTCATCCCCAATGTCACCGGTAGGAGACCATTTAGACACATTCATGAAGCAATTGAAAACCAGATAAGACCTATGACAAAACACCCTACTATAGTCAAGATCATTTTCCAGCTTAATGTGAACATGAGAAGAATCCAACACAGTCACAAAGAAAGCACCAGTTAAACGAAGATTGAAAAAAAAAAATTTGTATCGACGCGAGCAGAGGCCGCCGCGAAGGGAAGAAGCCAACAAGCGAAAACCTAAAAGGTTCGGCATGAGCAAAAAAACTCATCTTCCGACACCAAAAGAGCAGGCACACCACAAAAAGAAGATTGAATAAGCTCAGGAAATCAACCAGGAGAAGATCACGCTAAAGCTTCCAAAAACGAGCGGGACCTAAGCAAACCATCCAGAAAACTAGGATCGGAAGAACGACAAACTGCCATTCCGACAAAAAACAACGAAAAAGAAAAGGAAAAAAGACTTCTCTTGGCACGCGGAGGAAGAAGAGCACCGCCGGCAGAGAGCGGCTAGGGCTTCCATCCTGGAGACTTCATCAGGAGCATATGCACTACGTATATAGATTCTTCATATAAAATATCATGATAAAGCTATTGCTTTCAATTGAGGTAAAAAAATTTATATATTTGCATATCTATCAAATAAATTTTTATATTTACTAATACAACATCCTAAACTCTAAATTCCACAAATATATGATATATCTTATCTAAATTACAATACACATTTTCATTCACATGTTTAGATGTGATTTAACTAAAAAATTCCAATGAATTATATATATCCATAACATTTTTAAGTCTTTACATCTCTACCATCCAAATCTTTATATTTACTAATATAACATCATAGAACCTAAATGTAATATCAATTTATCTAAACTGAAATATATGGATTTAGCCCCTAGGGTGATATAAAAGTAAAGATGAAGATTTTGGTGATACATAAGTAAATACATAGGAATTATGTGATATATACGTAAATCCCCTTAAGTTGATAAAAAATAATAATGAATTAACTAATCAAATTACACATATCAAACTTACCACCGTTATTACATATATACCATAAAATTCTTATACATTTACATATCTAACATCTAAATCTTTATATTTACTTATATAACATCATAGACTCTAAATATCACTAATTTTCAAATATCTAAAGTGAAATACACCTCGTGCCTGTGTTTCGATATGATTTACCTAGCGGAATGTTATATAAGCAAATATGAAAGATTTGGACGACAGATATGCAAATACAATAAATTATATGGCGTGTCTATAAATCTCCTAAAATAAATAATAAAGAATTAACTAATCAAATTACACATAACCAAACTTATCACCATAATGATTACTAGAAATGAAAGAAACTCCCATACTTCCATCAAGCACAAGAAAGTATTAAGCAATTCCCTTCCACATAAAGCTCTTCTTAATGAATATGTACAAGGTACCATTATACAAAATGAACAGCTCAGTGAGTAAAACTAGGATTAGAACAAAGAACTATTCCAAAGGCAAAAGAAGGATAGCTCAGATAAATGAGTTAAGAAGCAAGTGTAGGCATTTATATAAACATGTACAAGGCTTCTATGAACAAGAAATCAAAGAAGAAATCATTCAAAGCTTAGAAGAAACAATTGAAAGATGAGAATTCAAATAGGGAATCATTGCCTCTTTTTGCGCAGAGCGCGATGATTTTGCCATGTCCAGAACAGCAAGAAGACCACCAGCATTATCGCCATGGATACCCAAAAGATTATCAGCCATGTTGGAGGCATAGGGTTGAGAAATAGACCTATCAAAAATGAAATAAACATCGGTCACAAAGTTACCTTATGCGTAAGAGATTACGGCTTCGTTTGGGACGGCTTTCTTCTTACTTTCTAAAACAGCTTTTCAGTACAAAAATTTCTTGAATTTGAAATTTTTGTACTAGAAAGTTGTTTTAAAAAGCAGTACGAAAGCTGTCCCAAACAAAGCCTAAGACAAAAAGATAAGAAAACGGTTACCATGGCAAAATTTGATGCATATAAGGAGTTCCACTATACAGATTGCTAATGAAAGCCAACAGAATGCTCCTATCTTCTTCGTTGGCTTCCTGGAATGATTAGTAATTTGTGAGAGAGAAGTAGAAAAAGAGAAATACAATTTCTATCAGGATATTAAAGATAAAATATTTAGGTTTCATTTGGGACGACTTTCTTACTACTTCTTAAACTGATTTTTTAGTACAAAAATTAAATTTTTGTACTAGACAGCTACTTTAAGAAGCAGTAAGAAAGTCGTCCCAAACGAAACCTAAGAGTCATACAATAAAAAGAGAAAGCTATACCATTGCTTTTCATTGTTGTCTAAATTTCTTCTAATTTTGATCATTTGTCTTATAACTTCTAATATTTTATTATTTTCATATCGATCAAAATATCCTGACATAATTGTTTTCGTTGTACACGAGGTTTTGAAACAAGATCAATGAAGGAGAAAACCTGTCCTGCAAGTAGGAGTTGTACTCGCGAATGGTGGGTATTGCAATCAGCCACCATAAGATCAATCTATGAATCACAACAGGATTTCCAGGTGGTATCCAAAGGCAGAACTTAAGAAAGAAAGTGTTAAGCTCAACAGTGAGGAACACAACACACAGGGTAAGAACTTGGATGAACCTCCATGGTCCTTGAAGAGGGTGCCATTCATCCTTATCCCATTGAGCAGGTGTAAACTGGCCCAATGTTCTTTTCACCTAAGAAGAAAATGGCAAATACAATTCAATCTAATGATCAGCTATGGATAAGCTAACAAAATCATATAAACCTCAATCCAGAAACAAATATAAATACACATCTCATGCAAAATGCAGAAGGATACACAAATCTATGAAGGAAGTAGAGAGAAAGTTTCTCTTCAACAGTGTAGGTTGAGGAAAAAAGAAGGATAAAGGATGTAACAAATCAGTTTTATGCCTGATATTGTCAATTTAAGAATTTTGTTGTAAAGGCTTTTTAGTAGTTTTAATGGAGATGGATTATCAGGGAAAGGAAAAATAATTGCAAATGTAAGATTTGTATGTTTGTTATTTTATAGGAAACACTTGAAGAACTCGCGTGAAACTTATCAATATTGAAAAAAATAGTGAGAACTCACCACAAATCTCCCACAAAACCAGGAAAAACAGTAGTTTTATGTAGAAAATGATGAAAGCGGAAGGAAAATAACAAGATATGATTGATCCTCTATTCAAGAGGAAGATCTATCTCTCCAAATTCTCTAGACAACGCTAGAACCCAAGAACGTCCGAGCACCTAAATAAAAATTCAGCAATACTAATATAAAACTTCTATTTAAAGCAAACATAAAAATAACTCAAAAGGACTAAACAACCCTCTTTCTCTCTCTCTCTCTTCCCTAAGCAATGGACCCCAACCCAAGGGGGGCAGGATTTGGAACCTACGGACCAACAGGCCTCCGCCTACTGTAGCACCTGAGCCGGCCCAACTTGAGCCGGCTGGACCGATCAAGGGGGACCGGTCTATCATTTTCAACATGAAGGAAGTAAAGTGAAGGCATGGCTATGTAGAACAAAAAAATTCAAAATTTATAATACAATTTAACAAGTTATAAGAGAAGATGTTAGTGATGCAACATAAATGTCCTATTCCTCTATTTTACAAACATAATATACTCCATAAGCGATCATAAGTGAAAATAACCAAGTTTTTGAAGTTGAAAAGTTAGAATTATGAAATGCTCTGGCAAAATTAATCCCAAGGCTTGTCTAATTTGAAGTAGAAGATTTGAAATAAAGTGAAATAAGATAGAAAGCCAACTTGTTGCAAACTTACCTTACCAATGATGTTTGGTTGCCGGCTTAAACCAACCCATTCATAAGTCTTAGCATCAAAGTACCTAACAGTGCGCATTCCAGCCCAAATGCCTATCCAAGAACCAAAAATACAAACAATGAAAACATGAATAATACACAGTGACTTAGAACCTAAAGAGTAGTAAGCTCCTCATGTTACCTTCCAAGATATGACAGATTTCCATCAGATTGACTTGAAGTAACAGGTTCCCCCTCGTCTACCCAAATCAGGAGGGTTCCCCAGGACTAATTTAGGCTTCGTTTGGGATGGTTTTTTTACTGCTTCTTGAAACAGCTTTCTAGTACAAAAGTTGAAGTTTTTGTACTTGAAGCAGCACAAAAACTATCCCAAATGAAGCCTTAGTTTCTTGTAGAAAATGATAATGTTATCAATTTTGCTGAATTTTGTGGGTATTTTTATAGATCAAAATCAGTATTGAATTCTAACTGCCAACCAAATCATTTTTTTCTAACTTCAAGCAACCAAATGAGACCTTAGATTATTTGAAAGACTGATAGAAATTCAAATGTATGGGTGTTAATAGAGTAGCTTTCTCCATTTTTTACAGTCAATCAAAAGGCAAAACTGTCTCAACTTCTATCTTGAATCCAAAAGAATACATTTTGAAACAAAAAGTTTACATTTGGAAGCTTCATTTCAATGGAACCAGGCATAGAAGATAAGAATCTTACCAAACCAATTGCAGATTAGAATATCCAAAATAATACTGTCCCACCAACATTCATTGAAGTTTGGCAGCATATGGCGGAAAGTGAGCTGCCATATAGTAGTTAAAGTTAGACCATCAGATAAGAACCTCTGAAAAAAAAAAAATAGATTTTTACACATATTTAAGAGCTGACCTCCATCACTTCGAATCCAATAGACAAAAGCCACAACAGAGGTTGGTTTCTTATCATGATAGCCTTACCCCACCATCCAAAAATATGTGCAAGGACAAATTCATCAAACAATGTCTCCTATAAAGAAAAAACTATTCTTCTGAAAATATTTCAAGCCAAGTAGAGCATACAACAAGTAATAATAGAAATAGAACATTTAAAAGTAAATAATATATGGTGAATGAAGCAATCATACATAAACACTGTTAAACCTGCTTTTTGGATTCTCAGGTGTGTATATTCGGCAATCAGTGCCATATGACCTTTCAGGTAACTCTGTTTTGTATTTGACAAAGCAAATCAGGATCAGAAAGATGCCAGAAAAGTAATTTTAGAGTTTTAGATAAGTTGTTACCAACTCCAAGATCTGGGTGAAGAAATCTCATGAACTTCCGTGCATCATCACGGTTCTGAAAATGAAGAGCTATCAGATAAGATTAACATAATTAACACAATTCTAAATAAGAAGAATACTCTCACAAAATTCTGAAATGGAATATGAATGAAAACAAAAGAAGCAAATGCTTTTGAAACAGTAGCGGTCTACCTTCAATCAAAAAGCACTAAACTAACTGGTGAATTAAATAGAATACTTTTAAGGAGTTAAAAACAAGAAAGGTAAGGTAATATATATATATATATATATCACAACCAGTGTCACCCTCTCTCACTCCCTTTAACCATTCAATGGTTGCAAACAGTAAGATGAGTGGGATAAGTAAGGGGGTAGCTAACAATCTTCCTGTTTATGCAATAAGGTTCCATTCGTATGTAAAATGCTCAGTTAAGCTTCAAATGTCCACTAATTCTGCTCAATAAAGTATGGAAAACTATGACAAAGTGATGGGCTACATTGTGATTTTTCGAGTGCAACTTTCAAAAGAGTGTAATTTGCCAGAGTGCTATTGCCAACTGTGTTCTTAGCATGTAAATACTGCCAATTTTTTTACTGAGATTTCACCACAGGTAAGTTTATAATCACCATTTTAAATCCAAATGCTCTCCTTATGTGATGAGGACTTGTTATGTGGGCATACTTCTGATAATGATTGGATGATTGCAATGTGATATAAAGCAGCTAGGTTATGAAGTAGGCACATCTAATAGTAGTTCATTTTTAAGCTATTGGACATAACATTCTCTAACCAAATCAAACGCAGATATATGTACTCATCGTAACATCCAAAAAGTTGTTTTCCAAACTCTCCGAAGCCATAACACATGTATAAATATGGATAAGAATAATAATACTAATAACAATAAAAAGGAAAAGAGACAAACCTGAAAAAGCAGAAAGGTTAGAGCGACAAGGTAGACTACTGCCAATCCATGAACCAATCGCCATACCGAAGGATGTGGACGAATTAAAATGCTGGAAAGTTACAATGCCATTAATTATCCGTAAAACTTGCCGGAATCGATGTTCCTAAACATTTTCAACTACATGCATTAATATATATATATATATGGGTTGCAAAATTATATATTTTGCACATTTTTAACATTTTCTAAACTCATGTACTCATGATTATCAGGATCATCATCATCATCATCATCATCATTAGCCTTATGGCCCTTATCCTAAATATTTGGGATGGTTTTATAAATTCTCACTTCTTAATTGTTCCCATCAAGTGTTTTTTGAGGTCCATGCTATTTCATTCCAAACCTTTTTTATCTACTTCTCTAATGGATACATTTTTTGTCATTCATTGTACATGTTCAAATTACTTCAAGTCTATTTTCAATTACCCGATCGCTGCTCCAAAAGAAGTATTCTTTAATTTATCCTTCTTCGTTCTTAATTTTCCCATACATTCATTTTAATATTCTCATATCTCCCATGCTCAACTTAGATATCAATGATTTTCTACTAGCTAATGCTTTGATCCTTACATAACACTTTGAAATGTCGTCATCATCATCATCAAAACTTTTTACTTCTCAACTTTACAACCTATCTTTTAGAATTACAACAACAACAAAAAAAGTTAAAAAGTACAATGTCTTATCATTTAGATGCTTGTGAATCATGGTGAGCTTCCTTAAGATTGCACCATAATCAACTACAATATGGAATTTAGCATGTAGTAAAAATCTTTAAAATATGACAGTCTTGGGGGGCTCAATGTAATGCTGAAACAAAGTGAAATGCTGAAGCATCTCAACAAAACATTTGCAAAAGGATATATTGCATAGATATTGCAACTCACGTTGAGGGTGCTTGAAGCAAGCAGTAAGCAAGAAAGACTAAAATCATAGCCCACACACCCCTAAAGAGAAAAGAAAGAGCCATTAGAAATCAGGAAAGGCTTCTGCTTTTCAGATCTGACCAAATAAATAATACTGAAATAAATTTTCAACAAATTTAGAGCCATTAGTATACAACATAGAAGAAAAATAACTCTTTAAAATATAAATCTAAAACTTTGCAGCAAGGTCAGCAGAATACCTCTTTACACTTGTAACACTATCAGTAGATGCATTGCTCTCTGGGCTAAGTGCTCCACTTACCCAACTGAAAGAAAATTCACCAGGAAACTTTGATGAAAATTCTCAGATGTAATTGATGGATAATAGCAAATTGCCGGACTACTCAAAGCACTTAGGCACAACTAAAATTATGCACAAATGCAGAATCCAGCAATATTAATCCATTAATTTTTATGAAATATGCAATATAAATTCAAACAATATTAACTAAATTTAATTATGAATTTGACCCCATAAAACTAACATCTGCAATTAGACAAACAAATATTTATGACCCCCGCAATATTTAGAATGAATTCTAGTAAGAATTATAATAATTTACAGAACATGAAACAAGCATAATGTATGCAAGTTTATGTAAGACATAAGTAATTATTTAGATAAAATTATAAGATAAAACATTGATAGTTGATAAAATTTAAGGTCTGATTCAAATTATCAATCCTGATTTTTATTAGATTTCAACAAAATACGTAGTATCAATTAGTCACCAAGTTAGAAATCAATGTGAAATGGTAAACATGGAAGTAAGGCCAAGCCAAACTGAGAATTATATAAGTTTTTTAATAGAGTTTGCATTTCTTAACAAGAAAAGCATCAGAGAATGATATATATAACCTTAACAAAAGTAGTTGAGATGAGATATAAGATGGATATGTGGTAAGATTCTTTCAAGGAAGATAATTCTGAAACATTTAACCATTTAGCAAGAATGAGATACAACTGTGATAGAAGAGAGAAAGAACATAAAACCTATGATAGAAAAAGGGCATCAAAATATTCACTTACACCAAAAGGCATGCCCCGATAAAAAGCAAAGTGATCGTGCGAGGTTTGTATGCCCATGCTGTCCATGGATCAAGCTCTTCAATGCCAATTTGAGGTCTTATATTGTGCTTCTCCTGCATGATGAGATCAACTTTTTCTCCCTCTCTTGCACTATCAACATCCATTAGTGCAAGCTCAACTGAAAACAGTAAAGAATATAATTAAAAATTGAAATTCTATGATGTCAATGTTCATTAATCTTCAAATATATTGAAAAAAATCAGTCCTTCAAGAAATTTCTTTGTACAAAAATTTGAATTTGATCTTAAAGAACTTCTTCATGAGTTAACCTACCAAAACTCCAAGCCAAAAAGAAAGTTCCACATCGACATAACAAGAGATCTAGGAAACCTTCCATATTTTATCTACTCAAGGACTAAACAAGCACACATCACAATAGATCTTGTCAAAAAAAAAATCTAGATTGCAAATGAAAAACTTGACATCTAATCAATTAGTCCCTCAAAATAACTTATAGAATTAAGAATCTAGCTGAAATAAATACTATGCAAAATGTTTCTATGTACGACCCTGAAACTAAATAGAAGAAGCACAATTAATTGGAAGCAATAATACACCCAATAGATACAAATGCCTAGAAAGACAAAATAATAGTCGCAATAAAGTGATTGAACAAGGTAGAAAAAAGAAAATTCTATAGCAAGATGTGACAAAAAGACCAACCAATACCACAAGGCATACATAACCTCAAAATCAAGGTATGAATCAAGCAAGATATACCTTGGCTTACATGCAACTATTCAAAGCAAAGAAATGTAAAATAGCACAAAATATCATCAAACTTGAGGCCAATAAATCAAATTTTCTACAATAAACAATCAATATATGGTTGTAAAACTGAAAAAATCATTATTCCTCCCAAAAAATGAAATTTTTGAAAATAAACCAAATACCTATATCATGATGCCTATTTAAAAAATAATAATAATAAATTAATTGATTCTCATCAATCTCATCATATAAAGATGTTAAAACATAAATGTTCTCGCTGATAAGACACTGAAGCCATATATGTTATGTACATAGGATTGAACAATCATTGTACGCATACCCAAAGTCCCATAAACAAGAGATCAATCCACTCTAAGGAAGGCTCCATAGCACAGCTAATTAATGGAAAAATAACCAGAGACCCAAAAAAACCCATTTTTATTAGATATTTCAACAACTTGCATGTTAAATCGATTGTAACAATGCAACAGAAATCTGCTAAATGGAAAACTGCAAAGGTAGAAATCAAACTCGTCATTCACAAAATACCAACTTTTCATTACTCGCTGAAGAAAAAATCAGTTCTTGTACAAATGGAATAACAACGAACAAAATACTCGCCCAACTTCCAATGAAAAGCTGACCAAAACGAATTAAAGCTGATCATATAAAAGATATATTGATGGATTAATCGCACCAAAAATTCCAAGTCTGCAACTTTACGCAGAGGAAGAAGAAAAGTCCGTCCTTTCAGGAAAGAGTTGAGAGTTATAATGTTTTTACCTTCTTTTTTCCTTTTTCGCTTCTTCTACGATGAGATCCGATTCCTATGGTTGAGAATGAAGAGGGGGAAAAACAGCTGTGGTCAAAACACAGAGAGACAGATAAAGAAAGAGAAAGAGAGAGAGACAGGGAGGAAGAAGAGACAAAGGGCGCTCTGAAGCCACTTCTTTTACTCTTGTGGAGCCAATCTGAGAGGGTTAGACATGAATCTATGGCTATTATATAGGGACATTTGTATAAAACTCAGTTTATAGTTCCATCCTCTCATGAAAATTGGTAATAGTTTTTAAATTTTATAAAAGAGAATATTAGTTTGCCTATTTTGCATATATATATATATTTCAAAAAAAAAAATTTAAAACTTATCAAAGCATATATGGTCTCCTTCCGACTATAGTTCTTCAGGCCTTTGTCGCCTGCTATGGTCCTTCCGACCTCCATCAACAGGCAACGGTCTTTCTGACCCCGGTCTCCTGCCGACTCCGGTCTCCTGCCGACCACGGTCCTTCAGGCCAAACAAACCTGTATATGTAACTCTTACCATGTAATGTAATCTATATGATGTACATTTGCTACATCAATCCAAGGCCTTCTCCTAAGGAAGGGCCTCATTTGTAATCGACTACAAATACTAGTGGATTCATTCAAACCGGGCTAGGCCCCGTGGTTTTTCCCCCTTTTTCAGGGGTTTTCCACGTAAAAACTTTTGTGTCTCTTATGAACGCTACACCCTCTCACTTATCTGATTGTGTGCTGGATCTTCGTACAACGCTAAGACGTTAAACTATATATTTCTCTACCGCCGCGAATATTCCAGGACGCAACAAATTTAAATTAATAAATTTAGAAGGCTTTAAAATAATAATTGATTGGATCAACGGATTAAAGAGATATAATTCTTTAATCAAAGTGCAATAAAATAATATCAGCGTGTAATATGGTAATTAAAAATGGATTAAGATAATTAAAAATAATTTAATAAAAATTATTATTTTAATTATGAAGGAAAAGAACAAAAATAAGCATTAAGGAGAGAGAAAGAGAGAGAGAGAGAGAGAGAGATATGAAACAATTGGGGTCTTAATCATGCAGTGATCAGAGCCTGTCCTCTTTCTTTTATCCTTTATGCTGAGGGATATACTCTTATAAATGGCTTGCAATATTCTACAACACATTAGTCTCAAAAATCAGGTCGGGTTTTGATAGGATCGGGTTGGGCTTGATTCATATTAATTTAAAAATAATAATTTGATTATTCAATTTTATTTTGATGAAAAAAAAAATCTTATTAAATTGTAATCCTTTTTTGTATCGACTATCATGTCCAATTGTCTCCTTTTTTATTTTGCTTGGTTTGGCAAGTTTAGCGCTATTCAAACATTGGCTTGAAAAGTCGAAGTATCAATGGAATTGGTGTGGGTCTAGAGATTGGCCTGGCCATTCTAAATTGGTCTGAATCGGGATTTGATTCGGATCTTGAAAAAAGTGAATTGGTGCCAATTTGACCATGTTTGGCTGAATTAAAGATCAATAAAGCTCAAAATTTAGAGCCAACTTCTACATAAGATCCGACGTATCCCATCAATCGAGTTCATTAAAATATGAGCTACTCGATTAGGGCCAAATGATCGCACACTAGTTGTGCTATTTGTAATAGCTCGATCCGAACTAAACCAAACCAACTTGTCCATGTCATAGCCATAATTTCATAGTCTAAGACACAAATTACTATCTTTACATCACAACCTAACTTGCATTATCCAAATCACATGAACTTCAATAAGATAGAGAAATATTCAATCCATATAATCATTATGTAATCACTTTTTCCAATATTCATTGTATAAGCCATGAAAATGTTCATTTAATATTTATCATATATTATATTCATGAAATTCAAGGCATACATAACTTCATGCTTACTATATTATATTCATGAAAAATTCTAAGGTCATTTCTCTTTATAAAAGGCTTTCATATGTCCCTACAACCCAAGCTTAATTAAAAACTCCTAAATTTAAATAACAATATATATTTAGGCTTCGTTTGCGACTACTTTCTTACTATTTTTTTAAAATAGTTTTTTAGTACAAAAATTTTAATTTTTATACATAAAAGCTACTTTAAGAAGCAGTAAGAAAGTCATCCCAAACAAAAATTTAGCATGTATAAAATAGCTTTTAAAGATAGATTTAAACTCAAATCATTATTAATCTAATTATTTAATATCTAAGCATGTTTACTATTTTTTTAATTGTTCAAATCATAAATTAATGGTACATATGATTATTTTTCAAATTAATTAAAATCTTAAAAATTTTGAATTTGTTAAACTAGCAATATGGTCTTGTTTGATTAAGACAATATATTCTTTTCACCTACCATATCAAATTATATTATTTACAAATCTTATTCCTAAACAAACTAAAACCTCTCATCTTCTAAACACAAAGGAAATACCTAAATTTATTATCAATAAGCCAATTCATAACTTTCACCTTCATTACAAAGGCTTCGTTCTTTTGACCGCTATTTTTTCCCTACTTCTAAAGAATTTTTGCACCAGAAAGCTGTTGTAAAAAACAGTAAGAAAGTTGATCCAAACATATTCAAAATTTTTAGAATTTATCACCTTATTTCCATACAAAGCATATCTTTCTAGCTCTTTCATCTATTCAAATTTTCTCCTAAAAAATAATCTACAATGAAGCATCTTTCTCTTATTTCTTAATTATTATTCTTTGTCTTATTCACCTTCTTGAATCCAAACTTCATGTGGTGTTAACACCTCATATTTAAATTATATAATCATGACACCTCTTCTTTTTTCTTAACTATCATAAGAATGACTAACTATTAATTTATCAATATTAAATCATTTATTTATTATAGAATATGATTGCATTAATATAAAGTTTAACTCTATAAAACCTTTTATGTAAGCATGATTAAGCTATCATTAATCAATTAGTTAAGCATCATGGTTGTTGTATATTATTATAACTACATCTTTAGAATCAAATAAATTTTTTATGATTTTAAATTATGCATTTGTGTTCTAATAAGATGGGTCGCCCTTCTCCTTCTTTACAATAATAATTGTAAGTAGATGGTGCTTATTTCTTAAATTTGGAACACTAACTCTAATAATTATGTTAGTGAGCTCTTTTATATATATATATATATATATGACAAATCTTCTCAAAAATTATTCCTTCAAATTTATGTATCGAAACATTAGGGCATTGTTTGGGATGGCATTCTTACTGCTTCTTAAAGCAGCTTTTTAATACATATAATAAAAAGCTATTTTAAGAAGCAACAAAAAGCTATCCCCAACGAAGCCTGAATTGCTAACACTCAAATGCTGGTTGTATCATTGCCTCTAACATGTTATATTTAGGCATTTAATATAAGAGATAAAATCAAAGATGATCATTGCGAGTTATGACCATCGACTACTTATGTATAGTAGGGTTGACTGCTTTGACTCTTAGGCTTGGTTTGAGACGGCTTTTTAACTGTTTCTTAAAGTTATTTTTTCTAATACAAAAATTAATTTTTTTTTTTACTAAAAAGTTGCTTTAAGAAATAGTAAAAAAAACTTCCCAAACAAAGCCTTATTAAATTCATTTAATTAATTTGACTATCAAAGTATACGATATCTATCATCGATCATAAATATTTTTTTTTTTGAATAAAAAATAAAATAATCTTACAAAATTCTATAAACAGCCATTCAGTACATTTGGCTCTTTTTTCAGTTGGAAAAATTCTAAGATCATTCTCTTAGATTTCGTTTGGGATGGCTTTCTTACTGTTTCTTAAAGTAGCTTTTTAGCATATTTTTTTTTTTATAAAAAATTGATTTAAAAAGCAGTAATAAAGCTATCACAAACAAAATTTTAATTTGAATAAATATCAGCTTAGATTATAGAATATAAATTTATGGATGAAATATCTTTAAGATTTGAAGAAATTAATTATATCACCATAAATTAAATGCTAATAATCTTTCTTAATTAGAATGCATGGTAACAAACAAAAAAAGGGCTTTGTAAATGACTTAAGCTTCATTTGGGACGGTTTTTTATTACTTTTAAAACAATTTTTTTAGTAATTTTTTTTTTAAATTAAAATTTTTTTAAAGAATTTATTATACTACAAATTATTTTAAAAATAATAAAAAATGGTACCAAATAAAATCTTATGAACCAAAAAGCAAGAAAGTCATCTGTACAAAAAGCACATTTAAATCCAGCCACAGTTGAAACCTGCATTTAATGCAAGAAAGTACATCGCATGCATGAAAGCACATATGGCTTACGTTATTATAAAGTAAAGACAAAATAAAATTTCATTATTGTTACTATTATTTTTATTATTCAATATTAAATATATTATTCTAAATTCGATATAGATAAAATATAATGTAAATTTAAAATGTACATAATATGATCTTTATTTAGAGATGTCAATAAATGATCCAATGGGACAAATTGATTTGAAAAATCTATGAATTGGCCCATTTAATAAATGAGAAAAGCTAGGTCCAAAGTTTTAAATAGTTTAATTGACGGGTCATATTCGAGTTGACCCACAAATATGATTTTAACCTGGTTATAACCTGTCTAACTTTGTTTCACTTAAATTAATATTTTGCTTGTTAAAATGCTCTTCATATTTTTATCAATTATATTACGTATGATCAGTAAGTTCTGATTTTTTTAATCAAAATGAGTTACTGGGTTG